GCGTGCGCGTGTGCGTGTGCGTGTGAGTGTGCGTGTGTGTTTGTAAACTGACGTACAAAAGAAAGTACACACCTGCTGCTTTTGGATTACTTCCCAAAGAGCGACGTAAATGTTTTGATAAGTTTTGACGGTGATATATAAGTCAGAAACTTTCCAAATATGTTGCCAAAACACCACAGATATCGTGCCCAATTGCGAAGTTGCCAATCAAAATCACAACACTTTTCAAATAATCCCAAAACATCAGGTGTGTAGTTTCTTTTGTACGTCAGTGTATTTACTTGCTCGGACTAACGCTGGTTTCATGGTGCTGCCAAATGAGATACCATGCAGCAGTGTAACATGGATACCCTACTCAGATACATTGTACTGCTACCGAACATGTGTAACACCCCCAGAGCTCTTGAGACAACACGATACCCGTGAAGGTCCGGGTTAGAATATTGATCTTCAGGAACCCATGCTTGTCGTAAGAGGCGACAAACGGGATCGGGTGGTCAGGTTCGCGGACTTGGTTGCCACATGTCATTGGTTCCCAATTGCGCAGATTGATGCTCATGCTGTTGATCACTGGAGTGTCTGGTCCAGACTATATTATTTACAGGCCGCCGCCATATAGTTGGAATATTTCTGAGTGCGGCGTTAAACAACAAACTAAAAATGTGAAGAATAGAAGCCTGGACGAATGTTTTAAGTGAGTGAGTGACTTTAGTTTTACGCCACTTTTAGCAATATTACAGCAATATCACGGCGGAGGACACCAGAAATGGGCTTCACATATTATACCCATGTGAGGAATCGAACCCGGGTCTTCAGCGTGACGAGCGAACGCTTTAACCACTAGGCTACCCAACCGCTCTTCGCAATATATGACATATTTGTGTTGTGTATGACATGCAGTCTGACTCTAAAACTGACCAAGTCACTTGTTTCATGTCATAGTTTTTATATCAGAATAGGGACTTGGGCAAATCAATGACCTTGTTTTAATATCAGAGTAGGGATTTGGGCAAATGAATGCCCTTGATTTAATATCAGAATAGGGACTTGGGCAAATCAATGACCTTGTTTTAATATCAGAGTAGGGATTTGGGCAAATTAATGCCCTTGATTTAATATCAGAATAGGGACTTGGGCAAATCAATGACCTTGTTTTAATATCAGAGTAGGGATTTGGGCAAATTAATGCCCTTGATTTAATATCAGAATAGGGACTTGGGCAAATCAATGACCTTGTTTTAATATCAGAGTAGGGATTTGGGCAAATTAATGCCCTTGATTTAATATCAGAATAGGGACTTGGGCAAATCAATGACCTTGTTTTAATATCAGAGTAGGGATTTGGGCAAATTAATGCCCTTGATTTAATATCAGAATAGGGACTTGGGCAAATCAATGACCTTGTTTTAATATCAGAATAGGAATTTCGGCAAATTAATGCCCTTGTCTTAATATCAGAAAAGATTTCGGCAAATTAATGCCCTTGATTGTATATCAGTAGAGGGATTTCGGCAAATTCATGCCCCTGTTTTATATCAGAATAGGGACTTCGGCAAATTAATGCCCTTGATTGTATATCAGTAGGGGGATTTCGGCAAATTAATGCCCTTGTTTTAATATCAGTAGGGGGATTTCGGCAAATTAATGCCCTTGATTGTATATCAGTAGAGGGATTTCGGCAAATTCATGCCCCTGTTTTATATCAGAATAGGGACTTCGGCAAATTAATGCCCTTGATTGTATATCAGTAGGGGGATTTCGGCAAATTAATGCCCTTGTTTTAATATCAGTAGGGGGATTTCGGCAAATTAATGCCCTTGATTGTATATCAGTAGAGGATTTCGGCAAATTCATGCCCCTGTTTTATATCAGAATAGGGACTTCGGCAAATTAATGCCCTTGATTGTATATCAGTAGGGGGATTTCGGCAAATTAATGCCCTTGTTTTAATATCAGTAGGGGGATTTCGGCAAATTAATGCCCTTGATTGTATATCAGTAGAGGAATTTCGGCAAATTAATGCCCTTGATTGTATATCAGTAGAGGGATTTCGGCAAATTAATGCCCTTGATTGTATATCAGTAGAGGGATTTCGGCAAATTAATGCTCTTGTTTTAATATCAGAAAAGATTTCGGCAAATTAATGCCCTTGATTGTATATCAGAATAGGGACTTTGTTCACAGGTGTTTAGCTAAACAATGCTGTTTTAGTAGGGTTAAATAATTAAAAAACAATGATAATTCAATCTAAAATATTTGTTCAGGATGTCCTCAAGATGTTCAGTCCACGAGAAAGATAAGTTGGTGAGGCAGGAAGGGGGAGGAGGTTTTGAGTTACTTTTTTTCCCCATACACACGGATCTGTCATGATTCTGAGCATGGAAGTTATTCGATCTGGATGGAAGTTAAAATAAATAGTTTCAATAAGTACTTCAAAAATATATTTATAATGAAATATTGATCTATATAACAAACATGTCACTTTATGAGACCTCTGATCCGAGAAACAAAATGACAAATAGACACTGTTTTTCACATTGGGAGTCGCCAGATTCGCAAATCATGTTATGCAAAAAAATCTGGCCAACAGGAGTGACACTGAGGATTAGGATTGGGAGGCTCCGAATCAGCCGAGTGAGTCATGTTTTACGCCGCATTTAGGGACACCAGAAATGGGCTTTATACTCTGTGCCTATGTGGGGAATCGACCCGGGTCTTCGGCGTGACGAAAGAACACTTTAACCACTAGGCTTCCCCACTTTGGTGAGTGAGTGGGTGTTTGTTTTGTTTTTAACACATTTATACACTGATACAATGTTCACCATCCTATAGTGAGTGAGTTGTGAAGCCCATTTCTGGTGTCCTCCGCCGTGATATTGCTGTAATATTGCTAAAAGTGGCGTAAAACTAAAGTCACTCACTCACTCACTTAAAACATTCGTCCGTCACTCCTAAGGCCAGGGTTCTATTCCCATATTTTTAGTTTGTTTGTTGTTTTACGCCGCACTCAGCAATATTCCAGCTATATGGCGGCGGTCTGTAAATAATCGAGTCTGGACCAGACAATCCAGTGATCAACAGCATGAGCATCGATCTGCGCAATTGGGAACCGATGTCACCATCCTATAAGCTCGTATACAAAATAAGTGAGCGAGTATTGTTTTATGCCGCTTTTAGCAATATTCCAGCAATACCACGGCATTGGACACAAGAAATTGGCTTTACACATTGTGTCCATGTAGTATATCGAAACTGGGTCCTCAGCGTGACGAACGACTAGGCTACCACTCCACCCCAGTATCCATATGGAGATTCGAACCTGGGTCGTGGGTGTGACCGGTAAACGCTTTAACCACATGCCTAACCCACCTCCCATAAGAATTAGCAGAGAATGTGTTCTCCTATTGACAATGAGGTACTTTGATCACATCACCATTGGTGCATAAAGCAACATTCTCTCTAACACACGCTACATTGAGGATTACGCTTTATCAGTAAAATACCGATGCTAGTACTTTTGTTGGATTGAGTCCCATCTAGGTTTCGAACCTACATTCTCCGAGTCACGCACCTAATCGCCAGCACACTAAGTCAGCCATCTAACCCACTCAGCCACCGTACGTCCATAAAAATGGAAGTTGGAAATCTACGGACCATACGCTGACTTGTGAGTGATTGAAGCGTTTGTTGGATGACTCTTGAGATGGTGGGTTGGCTCAGTCCATGGTCATCGGCATTGCACATCTGAAATTTGCCAGTGGCAAGATAACGCAAAGTTACGAGCACTTTGGTAACGCAGGACACTGCACAACTCCGATGCGTTACGGGACTTAGTTCGTGTTCGAGTAAATCACAGATGTAAACAATACTGTTTCTGTCAAATCTATACCTTTGTAACAGCTCATTATCATTTAATGTATGCAGAACTTCTCTTCTTTCATTAAATACTCTTGGAATACGTGTGGCAGCCATTTTGTTTCACATGACTTAAGTCAAAACAAGTTGATTTAAGCCTAGCAAGGTGAGTCTTAATAGTTAAGTCAATAAATGACCAAACTTAACTCTGTTGATAAATATGACTTAACGTTTACCACATAACTTAAGTCGAAAAAAACGAGAAAACTAAGTTTTTTAACTGACATAAGTTTTCTTAATGACTTAAGTTGTTTGATAAATACGGCCGCAGGTCTAGACCACGGACTTTGTGTACCCCTCTGATAAGTGTAAATTGACACGGCTCCCACAGCGGGAACACTATGACTACACAATGCCATTTAGAAAGTGATCAAATGCGACACTTTATATTTGTGATTACACTTTCTCAGCAAGTACTAAATTCCGTACTTCACTGAGAAAGTGTAATCCCAAATGTAACTTGTGTTACATTTGAACACTTTCTAAATAACATTGTGTATTCATAACATAACTCTTTCATCCAGGACCCCTGTAGGTCCCGGTTAGAATGAACCTTCAGTAACCCATGCTTGTCCTAAGAGGCGACTTACGGCGACTAACGGGATCAGGTGGTCAAGCTCGCTTGCTTGGTTGACACATGTCATCGAATCCCAATTGCGCAGATTGATGCCCATGCTGTTGATCACTGGATTGTCTGGTCCAGACTCAATTATTTACAGAACGCCGCCAAGTAGCTGGAATATTGCTGAGTGCGGCGTAAAACTAAACTCACTCACTCTTTCATCCACATAACTGTGAAGATCTGAGTTACAATTGATCTTCAGTAACCCATGCTTGTTGGGGATCGTGGGATCAGGTCGCTGACTTGGTTGACACATGTCATCGTATCCCAATTGCGTAGATCGATGCTCATGTTGTTGATCACTGGATTGTCTGGTCCAGACTCGATTACTTACTACACAATGCCATTTAGAAATGCTGCCATATTGCTGGAACACTGCTGAGTGCCGGGTAAAACTAAACTCACTCACTCACTTTTATCCAGGTGATGAAATCACCTGTAACTGGACAACACAAGAGATACACATAGTTAATTTCATTTATTATACATTTATTGACGAGTATTTACACAATGGTGACCACAATAAGACAGAGTGTCACATGACAGTCATGTGATCACATAAGAAAGCATATCACCTGACAGTCATGTGACTGAGGAAGACGGAGGATTGCCCACAATCCCTGGACCCTGATTTCAATGATGGGTTTGACTTCTACTATGGGGCACTGTTTTCAAATCTGAATAACATTTACACTTACATGTCTTGGCTTTCATTAAACATAACACATACACTTGCCTAAGTACTTGATATATTCATCTGGCAGTTACACATACCCACTTACAAAAGTTGGAGATTCTAGTTTTTCTTATTGGATTTTCACATTTACTTTCAACCGTTTTCAAATTTACTGTGAACCAACTGTTTGGTTTTCAAATTTACTTTAGACCAACGGTTTGGTTTTCAAATTTACTTCAGACCAACTGTTTGGTTTTTTAAATTTACTTTAGACCAACTGTTTGGTTTTTTAAATTTACTTTAGACCAACTGTTTGGTTTTTTAAATTTACTTTAGACCAACTGTTTGATTTTCAAATTTGAACCAACTGTTTGATTTTCAAATTTACTTTGATCCAACTGTTTGATTTTCGAATTTGAAGACAGTCCCACTCACAGACAATTTCTCACAATGGCAAGAGGTGCATCCACAAAATTACTTAAGTAGTTTTCAAAATACAAAATGGCTTATTTTGCATACTAGGTGTAGGCGAAATAGATAATATATAACGAGATTGCTATGTTTGAAATTGCATAGTTTCCTAATATCATAGACATGTTACAGACGCTAATGAGTGAAAACCTGTTTGATAATTCTTCTCAACACTCACACTTGACACAACCTGCGTTTGAAAAGTAACATAATTTACTTTTATGTATTTAGAGCAAAGAGCAAATGAAAATAATAATTTTAATTTTTCTATTTATAACAGTAACCAGAAATTCTCACTGAATCAAAACTGATGATCCTTCTATGTAAAAACATTTAAAAAGACGTTCACATCTATTAAGAAAGATGAGCTTTTTTGGAGAGAAGAGAGGCTTGAACACTCCAGCAAGACCAAGCTATTGATACATCAATGTTGGAAGTGCAGTTTATGGAATACTTTGGAAGAGTTCTCTCCCTTTTATAAGGCGGTAAATGCTTAGAAGACTTTTTTTTCGTTTGATCTGAACAGCTGCTTCTAGTGCAGCTGCATCAGGTGTGTCATCTCATTAATAGCTCTCTAATGTTTTGTGGATCTATGAAACTTGGTATGTGAAATGCGCGGCTGCCGTGCCAAGTATTGCAGTAGAAGATAATATCACATTGGGAAGCCTGGGCACCAATGTCCCACAATGTCTTGAAATCTGCCAGGTTGAAAACAGGACATATCCCAACCCGTGGAATGGCCCAGACTGATATTGGATGTAGATGGTTGAGATGTGTCCAATCTTCAAAATGCCCTTCACCAGAATAGTCAGATGGGCTCAACCATCTGCAGGCCAAACAGTAGAATGTATTGCCAGAACAAAACAGGACACATCCAATATTGCATTTTGAAGCATTTCAAAACAGGACACATCCCATATTGCATTTTGAAGCATTTCAAAACAGGACACATCCCATGTTGTACCTTACGCTATTGCAAACAAATCTGCAAAAAGAAATCTGAGGTATTTTGTGGCACAGAACTATAATTGGTATAAAGATTTAAAAAAACAGCACGGCTGCTTTTTTAAAGAAAAACATTTACCTTCAAAATGCATCTAATAAATCAACATATTGTATTTTCTCAATTTTATCTTTACTTATTGTGCGACACTGGTACCCTACCCATAATGCAACTGTGCTGAGTATTGTCAACATTAGCCAATGATCGATGGCTTAACAAACGCTTGTCTTGACGGTGAAAAATGCAAGCAGGGGAAATTTAATTTCCACATAGATTACCTCGTAAAACATGAAATATATATTTGAGAATATTATTTCTTCTAAAATCCTAAAACCAACGTCCTGCTTCCAACTTTCATCTGCACCACACTCATTTGTTTCGATGTTCGTGTACTGTTACACTTTATATCACCCATGTGTTAATAATACTTTAACACCTTGCACTCGCTCTTAACACAACACTTGCTGGTGGCAACACCCATTTAACACTTCATTCATACTCGACCATGTAAAAATACACACTACAGTTTGGTCACACCATGTATACACAATTACACTTAAGTGTAACTTCATAACAAAGTACACATGTTTAACACAAATACAAGTCTGTTACACTTAAGGGTAATTTGCTAACATTACATCAGAATTGAACCAATTACACTTAAGTGTAAAATATTCCTATGTGACTGTTGTCAGATGTGTTTCCATATTACTGTAACGTGCCAGTTACACTAAAACGTAACCAGTTATAAACATTTATACCACGTATGACCACTCACTCACTCATACAATCCCTCCATATCACGCACCTGTATGACATACCTACCCAGGAAGTCTACGAACTTGCTTGGTGTAACCTTACCCCTCAATTGTGTAACTTAGAACTAAGTGTAACACCAGTTGACCTTATCGCACTGAACAAACTCAAATACTTAGTACTACTTTCCAACAAACTATTTCTTCAAATTAGCATTTTCAATACTTCTAATTGACACAAAATATTTTTTTCAAGTCTGTTTTCAAGTACTGCTTGTTACATTCATCATTAAATTACAGGAATTTGAAGAGTTTGAAATTCATTGTGACAGGAAAATCATCTGTTAACAACCCTGAGATACGTGTTCACTGAACTCCACAACCATTAAAATCGTATACCTTGATTAGCATTAAGACAATTCAATTAATTTCTGAGCAGACAATTTAACAAGCGTGGTCGAATGGCCTGATGTAGGTCAGACAAGCAGTTTCTGGGTGTCGGAACCAGATGTTCTTCATCCAAGGTTATAGGAGCTGTAATACTGATCATCAGATTTACACAATATTGTACACCATGTGTTTTTTTTATAAAAGATGGAAATGAAATCTGTGACGCTAGAATCACTCCTAAAATCCTCTGCAGTGTCAATTTCTAAAAAAAAGTATAGTACGGCCAAATTCCCCTTAAAACCAAACAAAGTTCTGTTGAAACATTAAGTTATTTTTCACAACTTGAAAATACTATAATTGTGATATTATGGCAACATGAGTATTTGTTACTTCCAGGATCGTTAATTTGATAAATGAAGTGGCAGTTGCCTAAAAAAGCAGACACAAGCATGACCTGTAAAAAAAGTGCCCTATTTTGTAGAAAATATACAAAATGTCCCATATATTCTGGTCAGGCATTGATTTCAAACTCTTCAAACGTCACAAGTAAAGGTGTAAGGTAGTATGCCCACAAATTCAACACAATTTACATAAGACTCTATTTCTTATGAAACAACAAAAATATAGGCTTAATACTGAGGAACCCTTATATACAGTAAGTACATAAAAGTCATAATTTAACATATCTTCTCGTTTTGCCTTCTAGATGCTATACAGTTACCCTAAGTTGAGCAAATCTTTTTTTTGAAACAACGTTCAAAAAAAATCTGAAAGTGTGTGAATATATCTTTTCGTGACTGAGGTGGCTACTAGCTGCTTCTGCAGCGTCGGTAAATACCGTCTTTCAACAACACCAACAACAGGCTGTGTCAGCACACTTTATCCGTTCAGCCTCTAATGCACTTCCAGAGCATGATTTATCCGTCCAGCCTTTAACAGTCCTTCATCTGTTTGCAAAAGCTGCCAAAAATACTTGAAACGCTGTAATGTTCTTTCAATACTTCTTGCGTGACAGTTTTTAGCATGTCGGTCCCTGAATATAAAACGGCTAGGTTCAATCGTTCGTATAATACAGTGCATTAAGCAAGCCCAAATGCACACAGACTTTCCTTCACAAAGAGTGTCTTCTCCACCATCAAAGCCTGTCACATTCTGCCATTTCTCTTCACAGCCTCATTTTGAAAATGGCTCCACAGTTTCCATGGCAACACTCCATGATAAATATCCATTTCGAATCTCAGCAGTTTTGCACCAATTTCATCCATTGAAAATATCTCTTGTTGGTTACAAGATCTGGACATTCGTCCCAATCCGAATGTTCCACGTCAAATCTCCTTGAACGAGACTTGAGCCTGCCATGCCCCTGTTCAGATAATTTATATGTACAAACAGCTATATTCAGTTCATATCACTGTGCTTGAATTTCTCGTTATAATCTCAACCCTCGCGCACTTCCTTTTGTCAGAGTGCCCCATTCATATGAGAGTAGTCTGTACATTGTGTGGCACAGTTCGTGAAAGACTGAGACTTGTCAGACGAAAGCGATGGGGACTTGTTAAACGTTGTGAACTCTATCGTTCCCTCTGAAATGAACAAAAAATACATATCAGTATAGACAGATCGTTTTAAACACATTGATGAGACAAGCATGAGGTCTTGGGACCCAACTTTGACTGGGTCATTCTCCTCCTCCTCCTCCAAATATGAATTATACAACCCAGCTCGCACAATTTTGAGTTTTAGGCAAGCATCTGCTTAGAGAAGAACAAAACTATACAACATACAATCAAGCGAGTAATTTACTCGTCTGGCAGAAAAGCTGTCCAATTTATTCTTAGAGCTAATATGCTATCTATGAATCCCATGGCTGTGCAACCAAGATCACCACCACCACCACCACTACCATCATCATCATCATCATCATCATCATCATATAATTATACCTCAAACATAATTATACAACAAACCCAACTCACAAAATTTTCAGTTTTAGGCAAGCATCTGTTTAGCTAAAAATGCAACTAATAATAATAATAATAATTCATTTGTATACCGCCTATTTTCCAACTTTGAGCTGGAAAATGGTGCTGAACAAGGGAGAGAAATGACATATCATATGCTTGTTGAAACAGGAAAGTTTTGAGACAGTTATAGAAGGATGTGTGAGAGCTTGCTGTTTAAAGTTCAAACGATATAGACTGTTGCTACACTACATACGATCAGCCATTCAATCATCCGTTAGACAAGTGTTCATCTCACCGTTGCTACTCAAGTCTGTATTTGTAGCTTGATCCTTTGTTGTGTGTTCACGGCTGTGCGGCCTCTTGCGACGCGCCGTTTATGCTTCCCATGATTCCCTGAAATATGGTCGCTCGGCGACAGACAGTCCATAGTGTTTCTGGCACTGAATATATTGGGGCTTGTCCCACCATCAAAAGTTCGAAGCTGTCTATCATTTGGGTGGAAACACTCGACTCCGCCTGGCACATGCATTCTGGGAGATTTTTGACTACTTGTCTCCGCACCAGACATGTCTGCTTCATTGGACGAATGTCCATGACCTTGGGGTTGCACATGTTGCAAAGAACTTGACCTTTGACCTAGTCGGTACAACACAGCAGGATCATGAAGCTGTTTTTCTCCGTTTCTTGTGCCGCCATTTTGGTCCAACAAAGGTTGATCTATGTACAGAAAAATGCATGTTAATAACAATATCTCTTCCTTCCTTCCCCCTCCCTCTCTCTCCTTAGAATTTGAAAGAGAATAGGGCTGTGCAATATAACCGGTTTACCGGTATTTACCGGTTCAGACATGAAAACGATACGTATTGCAATACGCTGATCGAAAACCGGTATTTTGACATGCATTCGGAAAACTTTGTAACACTCGGAAATCTTCGGATATTATCGTTTTTTGAATTGTTCTTTTCCCTGTTTCATTAGTGCCAAATGTTTACTTACATTTTTATTTTGTCATGATTAAAAGTTTTTATAAAAGGTTAATCAATCATAGTGATTTTGTTGTGTTTTTGCTTTATAATCAAGCATTAACTCGATTATAAGTAGTTTTTGTTAAAAGAATAATCCTTGCAATATATTGCAATACATATCGCAATATATGCTTCCGCATCGCAATATATCGCAATATGAAAATTCTCTGCAATACCCACCCCTAGAAGAGAATGTGTCAAGAATCTATCTATATCTCTCTTTCTCATAGCCTAGGATAACAAGAGTTGTCTCCCTTACATCTCCACAAAGTTGGTTGGTGTGTTGTTTAACGCTGCACTCAGCAATATTCCAGCTATATGGTGGCAGTTTGTAAATAATCAAATCTGGACCATACAATCCAGTGATCAACAGCATGAGCATCAATCTACGCAAATGGGATACAATAACATGTGTCAACCAAGTCAGCAAGCCTGACCACCCGATCCCATTAGTCGTCTCTTACAACAAGCATGGGTTACTGAAGATCAATTCTAACCAGGACCTTCACGGCTCTTCCACAAAGAGATATCAGCTATGACAATCGACAGCAATGTGGGATCATAAGTCATGATAATCTTGGTATTCCAGAAGCAGCAAACAAACACGTTGTCATGGTAACTAACCTGGGGGAATATCATCAATGCTTTTAGCAGTGTTGATGCTGTTGAAGTTGTTGTCGCTGGTGCTGTGGGGGCCACTGTAGTGAGGTATGGACCCGTTCGGCACAAGGTTGTGATTCTGCAAGGATAACAAACAAATTGCCAAGTCCAAGTAACTGCTGTGTAATGGGTACCCCGGAGGGTTCTGACTATCACAGGGTTGGGGCCAAAGCAGGGTTCGATTTCAGAGAAGTTAACGTACTTGCACCAGGTGCAACCTACGATAAAGACCTAGTTGCACCAGCCAAATTCCAGTTGCAACATAGTGTGTTTAAAACGCCAGAAGTTTCAGTGCATATAAAAATATTTCCGTGATGTAGTACCCATGAAACCATAGCAACACAGAGACACAGCTGATATCTGTTTTCAAGAACTGTCATAGCCGAGACGTGTCTATGAATAGCAATGTTTTGGTGCCATAGCTATTCAAAGTTTAGAAGAAAAATGAGCTGACATATTTATGCTTATAATGTTAGATTCATCACTGATTTATTTCTCAAAAATTGACTTGCACCGTGTGCAAGTTAGACTCATAACTAGGTTGCACTTTGTAATACTGGGTTGCACCAGTGCAAGTAACAAAGCACTAAATTGAGCTCTGCAAAGACATTGAAGTTTGGTCAATTTCAAATAAGGATCAATGTTCTAGGTTCAATGTTCTAGGTTCAGAAAACACTTTGATCATTTTCGTTTTTGTTGGCTACTTACAGGTACACCTCCTTTCCCAGCCTGGGAGTTAATCATTTGACATTCCACTTCAGATATCGGGTTCACGTTGATGTTCATCTTGTTGTTATGGTTACTGTTGCCATGGGGACCGTGTCCGTTAGCAACCAGTCCATTGAGGCCGTTGAGTGGGTAACCATTCATGTATTTCTTCCTCATTGACTCGCTGTAGATTCTTTGGGCTTGGTCCTGGTACTTGGAGTGGATCATCCCATTCATGGCTGCAACGGAATCGAAGATACTATGTATACATTATGTATACAACCTTAGATGACCATTAATCCACACTGCAAAGTTACCACTATATATTCAGACTTACCTGACCATTAATTCACACTAAAATATTGCAGTTAGAAGCAAAATATGTCCTGTCAACATAAAATTTATATTGGCATCATGTACAGTAACACTATACAATCTGAGCTGGCACTTCATCGATATTACAATGTTGCCATTATGTTGGGTTGGTTTGTTGTTTAACGCCACACTCAGCAATATTCCAGCTATATGGCGGCAGTCTGTAAATAATCGGTCTGGACCAGACAATCCAGTGATCAACAGCATGAGCATCGATCTACGCAATTGAGATACGATGACATGTGTCAACCAAGTCAATGAGAATGACCACCTGATCTTGTTAGTCTCCTGTTACGACAAGCATGGGTTCCTGAAGACCAATTCTAGCCCGAATAGGAACAATTATGTATATGGTACACTATGGTACAATCTGATTCATGACCTACCCATCATACGACGTTGTTGTCGTTGTTTCCACCAGCACATGACGATGAACACAAACAACAGCAACAACATGACACCAAGGACAATTCCCAGCACCATGTAGAGAGTCTCACTGCTGGACTGGGTGCTGGTCTTATCTGTGGCGATACCATCCCCCCTCTGGGTGGGGTTGCGTGGCTCTTCGACCCGAGGCTTGTCTGGGGACGGCATGTCTACTGTATCGACCTTGTCAGTGACTGGCTCAAACGGGAATACTTTTGGGGGTTTGGTCAGCGCGCTGAAAACAGATATTATGTGTGAAAAGTTCTCTTCAAACATCAATTCAAGAACCAAATTCAATGCAAAGTGAGAGTGGCATTAGGAGGTCTGTATGATGACCAACGGGGAACGTTCTATGAATATATATGATTACACAATGCCATTTAGAAAGTGGTCAAATGTAACATATGTTATATTTGGGATTACACTTTCTTAGTAAAGTACAAATTCTAGTACTTTTTGAGTTGAGCCCCATCCGGGATTCGAACTCATACCCTCAGAATCAGTCACATAATCGCCAGCACACAAAGCGGGTTAGGCGGCTGATTTTGTGTGCTGGCGATTAGGTGCCTGACTCTGAGGGTGTGAGTTCGAATCCTGAGATGGGGCTCAAACTGGCGGGGAAAAGTACTAGAATTTGGTACTTTACTAAGAAAGTGTAATCCCAAATATAACATATGTTACATATGAATATATACTTCCTTTTCATAATGTAAGCAAGTTTCAGTGTGGCTGCTAACACTGTTATCAAGCAAGTGATGATAACAATGTTAGCAGGTTCATTGAAACATCACTTGCATTACGATAAATAAGTTGTATATTCATAGAACTTTCCCCGTTGTTCAAAGAGAGAAAAACGGAAGAAACTGAAAGAAATTCAAACATGTATCATTATCATTATTCGAATGTCACATCTAAAATAATTAAATTTCATAAAAATATATGAGTGAGTGAGTTGAGTTTTACGCCACACTCAGCAATATTCCAGCTATATAGCGGCGGTCTGTAAATAATCGAGTCTGGACCAGACAATCCAGTGATCAACAGCATGAACATCGATCTACGCAATTGGGAACCTATGACATGTGTCAACCAAGTCAGCGAGCCTGACCACCCGATCCCGTTAGTCGCCTCTTACGATAAGCATGGGTGGCTGAAGATCAATATTCTAACCCGAAAAAAAAAATATCATGAAACATGCAACAAAACATATACCCCTACACAGACTGGAATGATATTGGTAGTCTGTGGTAAACAAATACGATGTCATGAATCAAGATGTCATAGTCTCTTCCACTTTCTAAAGAACCACCAATGACCACACCACAACCTACCCAAAGTTCTCTTTACAACAGTATTGCTACTGTCGCTGTTCCCGGCTGAGTTGAAACATAGCATGCGAATACTGTATTCGGTATCTGGCTTGAGATAGCCCAACACATGTCCACGAACTTTGGTTTCAAGGATTGTGATTTTCTTCCATTGATCTTTTGAGTCGTAGGGTTTGTAGAAGATGAAGAAGCCCTCAATTGGCGAGGATTCTGTCAGGATATACTGAAATGAAGTAAAGGAAACTATAAAATATTTATTTACTATCAGACCGAGTGAGACTGACTGACTGACTGAGTTTGGTTTTCACGCTGCTTTTAGCAATATTCCAGCAACATCACCGCGGGGACACCAGAAATGGGCTTTACACATTGTACCCATGTGGGGATTCTAACCGGGTCTTGGCTGATGAGCCAACGCTTTAACCACTAGGCTACCCCAATCGCCCCAACCGAGTGAGAACTCATGCAACAGTAGGTGAGTCATATTGAACACATCAGCTTTGTATGAAAGCAAGTGAGTGAGTTTAGTTTTACTGAAATGAAGTAAAGGAAACTATCAGACCGAAAGTGACGGGATATTTCGTATTATATGGGTGGTGCGTTTTTTCTAATGTTGTTCACTATAGAATGGAGCGACTGACCTGACCATGCATGGAGCACCCTCAAACAACCCTGCAGTTACTTTCGAGAGAATCTAAGACCTGATGACTTATTTTATCAACACAAACCCATCAGCTGCTGCTATAGTTGTGTACACCTGTGTCTAACGAGCTGTCAGACAAAGATGCTGACCTGTTAATTACCTGTGGTCTTACTAATCAACACCTGCTGATAACACACCTGGCAGAGGGATTACCTCGTAGCTTGGTCTGATGGGTTACACTGGATAGACAATTGTTGTGTACACATAGCAATAATGTTGTCAACATTGTCTCTTTAACAAGCCAGGATTCCTACTGATTCAGTGCACTTTTGTTCTGGAATTGTTACCCAAACTTTGGCATGAGGCTTAAAATGAACGCTAACAGACAACCCCACTAAAGTGCATTTGTAAGATGCCATTAAAAACAATGAACATTAAATTGTGACATTTTCATACCTGTTCACATATAGGTGACTTTGTATCACAAAGACGTTTCTTTGAATTATATAGAATTAAATCATAAAATTATCCATCATTTCGAAACGGTATTTTGAGATTTATTAAAAGAAAGAAATGTTATTTACAATCAGTCAGTTTTAAGTTAACTCCATGCATGGTTGTGCCTGCCTGTCACTGTGGGGAGCAATAATGTAGAGTGAGTGAGTATGGTTTTATTCCGCTTTAGCAATATTCCAACAATATCATGGTGGGAACACCAGAAATGGGCTTCACAATTGTACAAATGTGGGGAATCAAACCCGGGTCTTCAGCGTGATGACCGGACTCTTTAACCATTAGGTTTCCCCTAGGCCCCCAACAGTGTAGAGAGTTTGTTGAAGGGTCTGTTGCTGTGAGGAGCTTGGAATGACTGAGTTTGGTTTTACGCCGCTTTTAGCAATATTCCAGCAACATCACGGCAGGGACACCAGAAATGGGCTTCACACATTGTACCCATGTGGGGATTCGAACCCGGGTCTTCGGCGTGACGAGCCAACGCTTTAGCCACTAGGCTACCCCTGAGGAGCTTGGAGACTCACCTGCCACTTAATGCCAATACCAAAGACATCCTTCCCATGTTCCTTGTTGTGGAGTGGCATGGCTTCCACAATGGTGGGTCTGTCTACCGGAGGATGGGCCTTGCCAGCAGTAGCAACCTTCATGAAGAAGCGGTGAGAGTTCTGGCCGACCTCGTTGTCATTATTAGAATACACAGCCGCGATACGAAACTTGTAAATTCCTCCTGGAAAACAATCATAATGCTTCAGTTAAACTTTTGCCGATAACACCAAAAACAGTGCAAATCTACATGGAATCGATTAACTTCCCATAATTCAAAAATGCACATTTATTCCAAGTCAAACAAACGTAAATAATTAATTGCTTGATTCGTGAAGATCCGGTTTAGAATTGGTCTTCAGTAACCCATGGTTATCATAAGAGGCGACTAACGGGATTGGGTGGTCAGGTTCGGTGACATGGTTGACACATGTCATCGTATCCCAATTGCTTAGATTGATGTTCATGATGTCGATCACTGGATTGCTTAGTCCAGACTTGATTATTTACAGACCGCCTCCATATAGCTGGAATATTGCTGAGTGCGGAGTTAAACACCAAACCAACCAACCAACCATTAGTTGCTGGTTGTTTGGAAGACCAAAAAGTGAGTGTTTGTTTTAGAAGTGCGTACCTGGTTTGAGATTTGACACTTCATACATGGTGGTGTCCTTGTCAATGTCGCGGTCGTCGGTGTGCCAGCTGGCCTTGTTAGGGGCAACCTCCTTGTACTGCACGCGGAAAAACACGATCGGGAGGCCATCATTCTGTGGCACTGTCCAGTTCAGCTTGACCGAGGTGTCGGACAGTTGGTCAACATGTGGCCGAGAAGGGGGGACCAGTTTGGCTGAAAAGACAACATAGTAACTTAGTGTTTAAATCAACTTTTGCCTGTTTATTGTAGATGCTGGATGAAAGTGGCTTGTTAATAGAAGTCGGGAACAGACAATCCAGCAGTCGTCATAACAAGCACAATCCCAATCTATACAGGGCAATCACATCAAAGAAAGATTATATGCAGTTGAAATTTTAAGCCAAGAATTGAATACATTTTCCTGCATTCCCTGCAGGGTTACATCCTAAAATAGCTTTATCCTGCAAATATGGATTGCTCTTCGTGTCAGTGTGTCAAAATTAATGGGAAGCATGGGCAATACTTTGGTCACCCCTCCAGTTGAGTTGGAACATAAGATCGTTGCCAAATTTACTTACTGTTTAGTCCCAAACTGACTACTGATCGCTGCCAAATTTACCTACTACTGGCAAACAAGGATAAGTTGGACCGGCGCAAAGAATGCGTTTGTGAGAAGTAAACCCACTGGTTTGTGAAAGGTAGAGCAGATGTAGGCTAGAGCATGTGCATTGCATGAAGATGAAATTGATTCTGCGCCTAGCTGCACACACCTTGCGCCTTGCTTCACCCATCACACTACACTTGATCGCGGACAACCTGGGGCCCCTTCGCTAACAATTGCATGCGCCAGTGGGCGGCACTCATACATGCTAATACGGGTCAATTGTCAGGTTGGTGCTCAACTTGTCCTTGTTTGCCAGTAACTGTTTAAACTCAAACTGCATGGTTTTCAGCCTGACAGGGAAAGCTTTAACCACTAGGCTACCCCACCGCCCCTGCCATGGTGTCATCTGTGGGATGACACCATGGTCTGTCCAACCTTTTCAAACATCTGTTAATGACATTCACCTTTGCCCTTCTTCTTCTTCTTTTTCTTCCTCTTTCTCTTATTTTTCTTCCCCTTCCTCCTGTTTTTACGACCACCATTTTTATTTGGCCTTTTTCGTTTTGGGGTTTTGACGTCTCCGTTGACCTTCAAGTTCTCCGACGTGGTCTCATTTGTCCCTGCCTGGTCACTCTCGGTCACACCAATAGTTGTCTCATCTGAAAATAAAGTAAATAATTTTAGTCTTGACAAGTTTGTCCTGTGAAGATTCATGTTAGAATTGGTCTTCAGTAACCCATGCTTGTCGTAAGAGGTGACTAGTGGGATCGGGTGCTCAGACTCGCTGACTTGGTTGACACAATTCCATAGATCAATGCTCATGTTGTTGATCACTGGATTGTCTGGTTCAAACTCGACTATTTACAGACAGCCGCCATATAGCTGGAATATTGAGTGCGGCGTTAAACAACAACAAACCAACCAATTTTAAAAGTTTAATAAAAGTTGCAAAAGAAAACAGCAGCAAGGATTACAAGTGATACACCACAAAACTACCTCTTCAATGACAATGATCCAATACAAACACAACAAGCTGCGACTCACATGCATTTCATAATATGGCATATTGCTGTCATGCATCAAACAAGTTAAATAATTTGTTAAGGAAAAACTTCTTAAGCCCAAGCTACAAGCCAAAAGTTAAGAACTTAAGCCCATTCTTAACACATTGGTTACTACAAAAGTTAAAGATTTTAGGGCTGCTTAACGCTCCAAGAATAAGGATCCTGGAGACTAAACAGCCATCTACAAGATTATATACAAAACTGAAGTAATAAATCAAAGAAGACCAAAAAAACCCACAACAACCCAGAAAACAAAGGGCATTTCATACACATGTGTTTTTGTATCCATCAAATCTTTTCCAAAAGGAATATATTTGTTGTTTAAAGTTCTGGATTAGATGAAAATATAAGTTTTTCGGATTCTTCAGTCCTTAAGAAATCTGACCTTCCACAGCAAACGACTAGTTCTCTATTGCAACCCAGATAACGTCTGACTATCCACAGCAAACGACTAGTTCTCTATTGCAAGCCAGATGACGTCTGACTATCCACAGCAAACGACTAGTTCTCTATTGCAAGCCAGATGACATCTGACTATCCACAGCAAACGACTAGTTCTCTATTGCAAGCCAGATGACATCTGACTATCCACAGCAAACGACTAGTTCTCTATTGCAAGCCAGATGACATCTGACTATCCACAGCAAACGACTAGTTCTCTATTGCAAGCCAGATGACATCTGACTATCCACAGCAAACGACTAGTTCTCTATTGCAAGCCAGATGACGTCTGACTATCCACAGCAAATGACTAGTTCTCTATTGCAAGCCAGATGACATCTGACTATCCACAGCAAACGACTAGTTCTCTATTGCAACCCAAGCTGACAAGTCATGGAGAAGAACAAACCCAACACAGTTAAATAACAGTGTGCCGATGCCGTCCCATTTTCGTTCTTGGCAATACAGGAATACTTTCCGGAATCCTCGGATCTGACCCGGAACAGCTGCAGTGACCCGCTGGGTGCAATGTCAAGATGGCCACGAGCTGGACTAAGTCTCTGGCCATCCTTAAACCAGTGGACTTGGTCAGCACGAGCACTGAGACAGGGAATAGCCACTGTCATGTCTCGCCTCACGGTCATGTTAGTCGGCCATAGTGTGAAGTAGGGCAGGTGGGCAGCTATGGTGTGAGTCAGCTGGGATTGGCTGAGAGTTACAGCTAAGTAAAACAGAAAATGTAAAACACAAATACAGCAGACACAACATTCAGCCAGACGTTAAGGTGAACTATCCGCAACTTGTCCCTTGACACCATTAAATCTGGTGGTCGTGTGTGGACTTACGAGCAAAGCTTACTAGACCCAAAGGCATTTTACAAGACACAGGCAACAGACCAGTGGAGAGTTAGTCAGACAGAGAGACAGAAGCTGGAGAAAATGTGTGAGTGAGTGAGTGAGTGGGTGTGTGTGTGTGCGTGTGCATGAGTGAGTGGGTGGGTGAGTGAGTGAGTGTGTGAGTGTGTGCATGCATGAGTGAGTGGGTGGGTGGGTGGGTGGGTGAGTGAGAGTGTGTGTGTGTGTGTGCATGAGTGAGTGAGTGGGTGTGTGCATGGGAGAGTGAGTGAGTGGTTTATGAGCATCAGTCAATATTAAAATTATTACAACATATAAAAGACAGCAAGCTAAATAGTTGTACATGTCAACCCAGTGTATGAAATAAGCCCAGACCCCAGCCAGACATCAGGGCTGGCAACTTCAAAATGTTACCAGTCCAAAATGGATTTAACCAGACCAGACACCAAGATATGACTCAGATGTATACAACATCTAAATTTTTACCAGACCATCGGGCTGGCTAGCTGTAAATCTAGACCGTCCGTCTGAAATCTAACACATCTCGGTCGGTCGGTCGGGCCTTATTTCATACACTGGTCAACCAACTAAGAGAATTCTTTATCAGGATTAATGCAGGTTCTAAAGCATTACAAGTCCTGTCCACAGTGCATTTTAGTACAAAAATTACAAAAATGGTCAGCGCATTAAACTTTCCCAAATGTCAATCATACTGGCAAAGCTCCATTAGCAGCGACATGTAATAAGCCTCTCGTTCAAGGAAACCATTAGGGCCCACAAGCATGTTACACACTAGCAGGTGTGATTAAATGCAGGTTAGATTCTTTCAACAAATGTGTGCAGGTTAAATAACAGAGTGACTTCCTGACATACCTGTGTTACCTGTTGGGTCAAGACCTTGACCCTTGACCTCCAGTTTCATGGTGGCACTGGCCGAGGAAGCGTTGTTCAAGGCCTGGCATTGGTAGAACCCAGCACGAGATGGCACCACCTTGGTGATCACAAGTACCATGGCTGCAAGAAGAGAGTGAGTGAGTATAGTTTTATGCTGCTTTTAGCAAAATTCAAGCAATACCAAGACAGGGGATACCAGAAATGGGCTTCACACATTGTACCCTTGTGGGAAATTGAGCCCGGGTCTTTGGCGTGATGAGTCAAAGCTTTAACCACGTTTGGGATTCGAACCAACAATCTCAGAGTCACGCAAACATATAATCGCCAGCACATAAAAGTCAGCCATCTAGCCCACTCAGCCACCGCAGGTTGCACTAAATTCTTTCACGTACATATTTCTGGCTTAAGCTATTGTTTTAAATTGGAAACCAACAAATTTGTCTGTCACAACTGCGATACCAAAACCTGGAAACAGACCATCCCCCGGCCATTTTGAGTTACCCATCTATACATCCTACATAACAAGTCCGTCCCAGCATGGTAATATAAAACAAGATTCTCTCCATTCTCACTGCCATCTTGACCTTCGAATACACGTTTTGGCTCACTAAACTGATATTGGACAATGAATGCCAATTCCTTCAGTCAATCACCATGGTGATGACTTGCCTGGAAGTTGGTGCCTACCTCCATTACTGATGCCTGTTGTTTTGGGGACTGGCTCCGCGTTGTAGTACCACATGACCTTGGGCTCGGGTCGACCGGTCACATTACATCGTAGTTCCGCCCTCTCACCAGCGTTTACTGTTATCACCTGCCTCTGTGCCTTTGCTGTTACAGATTCTACAAGAAAAGCAACAAAACTGCTATTGAACATTTATCCCAATTGGATATGTCAGCAGGAAAATGTTAGAAAAATTTGCAATGATACAAACCATAATATTTCTCCCAAAATGTAATTTTTGAGTAAAATTGATATTTTATACTTATCCTGACTCATGCTCTTTTGCTTGTCTTCTTCTTCTTGCTAACATAGTGGAACACTTGTATCTCCTTAATTGAAGCTCCCTTCAATGTAAAATCACTAATTGGTACTCACCACGAAGTTGCCTCCCCTTGCCCTTTGGCGGAACAGGTGTCGCCACCCTCTGGCCTCATGCTTCACTCTCTCCTGATTTTTGCGAGCCCAACACTTGAATTTACAGGGAAATCCAAAGTGTTATGTGGGAGGATGGGGGTTACTCATGAGTCAGGATAAGTATAAAATATCAATTTTACTCAAAAAATTACATATTTTTCCTTATCCTGACTCATGCTCTTTTGCTTGTAGAATCCTACGGAAACGGAGGTGGGCAAAACAGAATACTTTGGATTTATAGAATTAGTGATTTATATAGATTTAACTGTAATAACCCCTACGGGAACTTCATAAAGGCATAGACTTAGGATAATTCCTCTATTATAAGCCATAGGTTATAATGCCATACTGGGGTATTTACATTATGATATACTGAGATATTATAAACAACAATATCAAAGTTTAATTCTGATAGAGAAGCTATACCACTGAACATATATACATACTGCTAGAACTCCGTGAGAGTTATAAGCCAGATAATGCATGTAACAATTATGCATATTAATCTCGTGAAGACTACGGTTAACGCTATTTAGGGACTGTCAACTGCTGTGCGAGGACCAAGGGACCTAAATGGTGAATGCCTGAGACGCCCTCGGTGGTGATATCTCTCAGGTAGTGATTAGCAAACACCATGTTAGATTTCCAAAAGCATCCTTCCATAATTGTATTCAAAGAACAGTTACCGCGGTAAGGCGAGAGTGGAAGCTAACGCCCTGATTTCATGGGGATTTGATGCTGTTGGAGGGTCCAGTCCTGCTGCCTTGTAGGCTGGCATGACAGTTCTTATCCATATAGATATGGTGGTACGAGAGACTTCTGTCTGAGTTGTTGCCGACAAGGGAATGAATAATCGCTTGAGAAATCTTCACTTTGTTTTGGAACGTCAGAAATAGATTTTGAGAGCTCTGACTGGGCATAGAGATAAGTCCAGTGTATCTTGAGATCCGAGAATGGAGGATAATGCAGGGATATGAAATAACCTGTCTGGTTGACCTGGTAGTTGATTTTGGCGATGAAATCCCATCTTAATCCCAGGTGTGCTGTGTTTTGATTGTCATCAAACTGTATCCTCTCATAATCTAGTGCGTGAATTTCCGACATCCTGGCTGCTGTGGCTAGAGATAACAGGAAAAGCCGCTTTTCTGTGAGAGAAGCTCAAAGTTTGTCGATTCCAGCGGTTCATAAGCCTCACTTGTGAGGTGTTGCAACACTATATTCAGATCCCAAGCTGGGCGTGGAACTTCCGCTTTGGTCCTCCAATCGAAAGCCCGTGAGTAAGGCCAGTAACTCTGGAGTTCTTGTTAATCTAACACCCGCTCTCATGGTAATGACAGAACTAAGCTGCAAGATATGTTGACAATGTCGAGCCTTTTAAATGTTTGTTTTGCCGTAGTAACACAAATAATCTGCCACTTGTGGATGAGTAGCATCTCTTGCTGTAAATCCCTTTATTTACCGCGTAATTCTCAAAACTGTGCCACTTGTCGCCGCATTGCCACGCGGTAGAATAGCGTAGGCAAGCGCGGACCGCTTTTGTCACTCTGGTAGAATACCCTCTTGTTTAAACACATTTTAATACAGTCCATAACGCGAAGTTGGAATACTTCTGGCTTCCGCACCTGTTTGGTGTGTGGATGTATTAATAGATTTGAGCTTTGGGTAGCTCTAGTGTTGGTTGACCGATTTCTTGAATTAGAATGGGAAACCACGCTCTGGCCGGCCAGTAGGGCCACCAAAGTGAGTTGGAGGCTCTGTGTTTGTCTGATTTTCTGTAACACTTGAGGTATTATTGCTGGCGGCGGAAACGCTGCAGACGCATTGAGGCCTTCCCAGGATATGCTTAGAGCCGCCCGCTGCCCATGCTTGTGGGTCTGGGACTGGTGACACGTAATGTCGGTAGCTGATTGTTGAAGCGGTTATGCTTAATAGATCTACTAGCGGGCCCTATTTGCTTGATTATCTGTGCAAATATTTCTGTATTGAGCATCCATTCTGTCGGTGACGGTTGATGTGGGCCGAGAGAGAGCGCCTGCTAGTACATTCTTGGTCGGGAATGTGACATGCTCTGACATGTAGGTTTAGATCGCGGTATTAGATCTAACAGTTGAAAGCTTAAAGTCAATAGGTTCAGTGATCTTGTTGAACCTTGTTTGTTCACATAGAACGCCACTGTCGAAGTTGTCGGTATGAATCATTAAGCGCGATTCTGTAGAATGTTGCTCCAATGAAGTATGGCGCTGATTACAGCTTTCATCTCTAACATGTTTATATGGAGCTTGCTTTCTTGCTGATTCCATAACCCTGATGCCAGCCCCGTTGGCTTAGATGAGCTCCCCAACCTTGGAGCCACGCCGCCTACATATAGATGGGTTTTGAATTCCTGCTCTTCTAAACAAATACCTTCGCGAAACATTCGACCTCCTGGTCCACCATAGTAGATGAGGTCTGAGACGCTTCGTAGACTGAATGGTTGTAGGTCGCCGAGATGTGCATTGATGAAGACCTGTAATGGGCGAACTGTAATCTGCCTGAGACTGTCATGTCTTGGGCTGATGTGAGGAGACCCAACACGCCTGCCATTGTCGAGTGGTAACGGAGAGAGTAGAGCTGACGGAATGGTCTGTTGGATCTTGAGCCAACGGTCTTCTGGTACGACGATACGGTTGTGATTCGCGGATAAATCGAATGCCTAGGAACTGCAGATCTTGGCGATGGTACTAGGTCCGACTTGAGTAAGTTTACTAACCATCCTAGCTGTGTTAGTAGCTTTATGATGTAGTTTAACTGTAGTTTGAGATGCTGTGGATCTTGATCTACTTGTATCCCGGTCGTCGAGGTAGAAACGACTGCGCGAGCCCTAGACGATGTAGATAGGTGACAATAGGTTTCGCTATCCTCGGAATAGCCAGGGGCTGATGATATGCCTAATGGGAGTACTTTCCATTGGTAATGTAGCCCGCCTAGTGTAAATCTTAGATATTTCCTGGATTCGGGATGTATCGGATATGTAGATAAGCCGCCTTGCAGATCTATACTGGCCATGTAATCCATGGGGCTTAATCAACTGCCGTGAACTGAGGAAGGTGTATCATGCTAAACTTTGGTGGTTTTATGAGATAATTCCTGCTGAAAAAGCTCATGTTGTAAATGAGTCTGTATTTCTCCTTGGAGTTTTTCTTGGGTACTAGGAAAACTGGGGAGTAGAAGCCTGGTTCGATGTCTACTTGATCTAGTACTTCTATGGCCTGCTTGGTTATGAGTGATGTAACCGCCTCTCTTAACTTTGGTAGTTGTTGTGCCTGTAAGTCTAACTTGTAAGGGTTGACTGTCAGCCGAGGCGCGGCCTGTAGTGGGATACTTAAACTGTTGAAGAATGTTGGAGACATAAGGGTCTTTAACATTCCCCAGTTCTCCCAGTGTAGTTGGAGGCGCCCACCCACTTGTGACGGTTGTACTGGAACGGCTGGGGTGGAAGACTCCAGTCGCTCCAACCTGTCTTTCAGCGCTTATAGTTGCGGAACCTCTGGGTGTCCTGCCTCTTCCTGACCCTCCTCTATAGTTGCCATATGGGCTTAATTTAAAAGAATCTTTTCCTGGCGCTGGCTATCTTCCTATCCCCGCTTTCTGTAGTCCCAGAACTTAGATCTCCCTGAGTATCTTTGTGAAGTCTGCCTGATGACGCTTGCTAGCGCGGTCCATCGACTTGATCATAAGGACTTCTCTGGAGTCCTTAGTGACTTCCTTGGAGACTTTGTCTATTCCTCCGCCAAAGATGTTTGGGGATGACCACGGGCTGTATAGAGTGGAGCTGTAAAGTTCTCACCCCAGCTGCAGGAAGCTTAGGAGGCCTTGACGACGAGCTAAGGTCAGTGCTGCTGAGACAGATGTGAGATGATCTGTAAGGAACTGCTGGTCCTTCTTTGCATCAGTAGGGCCGAGTAGATCATCCTATCATCTTCAGAGGTCGATACTTAAATCTGGTGATAAGTGTCTCATTGATCGCTCTAGATCTATTTAGGCCAAAGAACATGCGCCTCGCCATGTTTTCTATCTGCACCAGCTTCATGCATCGCCAATCTTGTAGTTCTTGTTCTTAACATCGCTGATCAGCTTGTAGTTTTCATCGATGTCTTGTGCCTTCAGGAAGGGGTCCATGTTGCGCGGAGAACTTCTTAGCGGAAAGTTCGGCAGATGTGGAGTCTGCACTTCGTGAGCTTTAATGAAGGCTGTATCTAGATTATGTGGCACCGCAGCAATCGGGTCGATCGGAGGTAAGGTGATGGCGCCTGCATCGCCTTCCTTCATCAGGTATGTCTGGCGCTTGAGTTGCCACTCTTGGACGGTGAAGATAAATCTAGGTTGTTTACCATCCAATATCTTATCTCAGCGCCTGAGAAGATGATGCCTCCATCATCTTCTGTACCAGCATCGGAGATGAGAGGTTGATGCTCTTCTGATGGTGACCTCTGGGCTGCTATCTCTATGTCGGGTGACACTCGGGAGACCTGAGTGTAGACCTGTGTGCCGAATTTGTGTGATGACCCGCGCAGGTGATGTAACGCGGAGATCGGGCGCGGTGAACGGGCGTGGAGATCGCTCTAGGTGATCTGGCGCCTATGGGAAGACCTAGATCTGCGAGGAGAATGTTGACGGCTTCGCGGAAGCTCTTGAATAGTCCCTCGACGCCCTTCTGGACGATGACGATCTGTGTGACGGCCTTCGCAGCAGCTTCCTCTGCGCCCGACCTGGGGAGCGGCGCCTTTGACTTCCGCGGACGGTTTCCGGACGCCTGGTGGTCTGAGTCTGCATCTGAGGACGAGGCCGAGGATGATGACGATCTCTCCCGCCTCGCGGAAGGCCTTCGCGACGACTGTACATCTGCGCCCTTCGCTGAGGTGGTCTGTGACTTCCTTCTCGGCTGCTTCGCCGTGGCTGCTACGCTGACTGGGGTGCCTCTGGGGGTATCGCTGCATGCTGCTCGGCCCTGGGCTGGCTGCTTCCCCGACTGTAGTGGCCTCCATCATGGTCATGATCTGCCGCAACAGCTCGCCTGGGATGGTCTGGCGATTTAAGTAGTCGGTGCCCTCTCTGGCGATGACAGCTGCTGACCCTCAGGGAAGTCGCCTGACATCAGTGTAGAGGCATCAGGCTGCATGGCGATCTCTGCTGATGTCACTGTAGCTGTCACCGGTCGCTTCTTGTGGCGTGACGCCAGGGATGATGATCGGCTGATCATCGAGAGGCCCAGTTCGGGCGGCTGGAACAATCTCGCTGAGAAAGTTCTTGACGAATTTCAGACTTCCCCTTAGATGTCGACGCTGCCCTGGGGTCCGGGTCTGCGCTGGGAAGACGCCGCGGCCCTCTTGACTTTATCTGGCGATGACGGACGCCTGGGGAGGCAGGACGCTTCTTAGTGTTGGCGGACTGCATCCCACGCCCCATCTTCCGACGGAGTCTCTTGCGTAAACACCAGACGGGAGGGGTCTATCGACAGCAGCTGACTGGAAGGGGAATCCGATGTATCGGCCATGTCTAACCCTTGTTTTGCGCGGACCTATTCGCGGTACGCCTCACCACGCAAAGATATTTATGAAAAGCAGAATTGATAGATTAATGCAGTAACTGCAACGTATCAAACGCACAAGGCGAAAGCACAACTAGGGCATAATACATGGTCAGCAATTGAAAACGAAATTGCAAAAATAGTACAGATTTTCATCAACGTAAATACTAGCTGAACAATCACTTAACTCACGGAATAAACAGTAGAAATAATGATTAAATATCAATGCAAATTAATGAAGGATACTAGCTATACCTCTATAGTAACCTATAAGAGGTAATAAACTAAGAAAACCAAAGGATATAGTGTGTAAGGAGACACAGGCGCCTCACATCCTGCTCACTGGGCTAAGAAGGAGAGAGTGAAGCATGAGGCCAGAGGGTGGCTTACACCTGTTCCCGCCAAAAGGGCAAGGGAGGCAACTCGTGGTGAGTACCAATTAGTGATTTTACATTGAAGGAGCTTCAATTAAGGAGATACAAGTGTTCCACTATGTTCGCAAGAAGAAGAAGACAAGCAAAAGAGCATGAGTCAGGATAAGGAAAAAATTTCCAGTATTGGATATTAACCTAAAATGAGGGTGGGGTAACCCAGTGGTTAAAGTGTTTGCTTGTCACGCTGAAGACCTGGGTTCGATTCCCCACATGGGTACAAGGTAAAAAGCCTATTTCTGGTGTCCCCCACCGTAATATTGCTGGAATATTGCTAAAAGCGGAGTAAAACTTAACTCATTCATTCACTCACTAACTCACGGAGGTAATCTTAAAAAATAATAATCTTTGTCAATTGAACAAGTAGAATCCATTTTTTTCCAATGGTGAGAGACAAATATATTTTGGCATCTACAATAATCGCTACTGATTTTAAGGGTCAAGTTAGGGGCTTGGCTTATCTATTGGGTCGGCTTACCTATGGTAATATACAGTAAAAACTGCCCTAAAAAACACCGCACGGTAGAGGAGACGCAATATTGTACATCTTAATGTAAATTATGCCAGAAACTTTGGATGAACGCTGCATCTCCAACTCTAAATCTTACAATCTTAACACCAAACACTGAAACATTCCCTCAAAATCAAATATAATACAGATGTATGAACGGTGTCAAAGTGAAGAATATCCATTTCTTCCTTCCACCTGAACACATTTTGACAAAAACTTTTCAAATGAAGTGCTTTCAGTTGGGCTGACATAAAAGTAGTTGTCCTCCATGAAAGGAACAGTACCTGAGGTCACAAGGGTCGGCCTCAAAGAGAAAATGAAATAACATTGCCCCAGCACTGGCAGTAGTTTTTCATACACAATACACAGAGGTAGGCTGGCCGAATGATGAATTCTACATCTGAGCTCGGTGGCAGAATAGTGAATTGTGCGAAGAAATGTTTCCCTGCTGTCATTCTAATCCTCGACAATCCTTATACAGAGAATATTCCTCTATCATTGAGTCTATTTCCACCATTTCTATAAATCAAACACAAAAAATAGGACTACCCTAACAACTGCTTACAATTTGAGAATGTCCTGATCCCATACCTGTACAAAGGTGGGTCACCTCGAAACCACTTTATCAAGATGAACGTGAATACTGTATTTTACGTGGGATCGCGCTGATTGTTCCGATTTTGCAGTGAGTGTATTAGCCAAAAGTTGAATTACAGCATCACTATGAAGCGACAGTTTTCTCCAGAGTGAATTGTTTGTGTGAAAGCATTACTATGAAGTTAAAACATCTTACGTTAATTTGGAAGTTTCTAGTTGTTTGGTTGGTATATTTTTCAGCATGCCAAGTAACATGTATTGTACTGTTAAGACAGAATCGCATATATCCAAGACCAGAAATAATGGTACACTCATGTTGTGTTTAAGGACTTCAATATGGCTTTACTCAAACTGATTATAATTTTTACATGTAAAATTTGTAAACTGACAATTTTAATATTTTACATGCAATATTAAAAGACACAAATTCTGTTAATTCGTGTAAACTTTAGCTTTTAGCTTTTTAAAGATTTAGTTGTTTGGTTGATTTATTGTTTCAGACACCAGTTTTCAGACACTTATTATTTAAATAATCGGGTATGTTAAAAATTTAGACAATAAGATAAATAAAAAGGTGTGTGTGACCATCTCTTTCAAAACCACCATATAAACAGACTGTCATGTCAATTTGAGCATGAGTTGTCCTTTTAAAGATTTCCTTCCAACCAATAAAAATAATATAATATTTTATTAACTTCTATTTTTGTGATCAAATAGTTCAGACACCAGTTTTCAGACATTGCCCTAGGTTTATCATATGAACCATTAAACCACATGAAGAATTCATGACATCCCTTTCAACAACAAAGGAGTTTTCAGAAACTAAATAAAAATCCTTTCTTAGAACTCTGTAGGGCGTCAGAACAATGACGCACACCGACTTTAAAGTCTCAGGAAATAGATGTTTTTGAACACTGTGACCTAAGAACTGTCAAATTAAAATGAGAAGATAAATTTCAGTGAAAAATGACACTGAAACCTTGCACCCGTAACAACACCCATAATTCCCACAATTCCTTGCAGCGTGCTGTTGTAAGATGCACATTTTCACATCATAATCGGGCATCACAGACCAACAAAAAGTTGCCTCCATCACTCTTATTTGATAAATTTGCTGGCAAGAGCAGTCATGAAGCTTACTAATTTATGGAGGACAAAAAGATAAAAAGCGGAATATTGTGGTTGTAATGACAGACTGGGAGCAAAGATGTGCATTCCAATATTCGACTGCGAGACTCTATTTTCTGCGAAGCTTGGATTTACAATAGACAGGCCAGTAAATCCTGTCGCTACACATATTCGTAACCACCAATTACCAACAAGGCCCTGCCAACATCTCAACACAAACACCCTCTCCAAATTGTTGGTTTAACATTTCAGTAAAATGTCAAATTGAGCCTTTGTGTTGTAACATTTTTTTTCAAATTGCAGATTTACGTTATTTGCTGTTGAAAACTCAAGTTTCAGTATTTTCAATCTGAATTTATTCCCAAATGTCTAAAGTATTCAGTGGACAGAAGTAGAAACTAGAGAGCTAGTGTGACCACCAAAAATCCCTATTTAGTTTCCTCAAAATGATCTTCATGGTGACGAAGATCAAGAGCAGTTCCCACTATCATTCCAAAGTGGTGTTGATAACTGCTCAAATAATAAACTAATTATTACCTGATGTTTGGATCATTATTTCAACAACTAGTTTGCCTGGCTTCCTTGTTAATGAATACATCATCATAAGGGACAGTTGAAAATTTATGGGTGGCGGGGGTGCTGATGATTTTTATGGAGAAGCATGTACAATGTGAATGACTCCCCTAAAGTTTACTTTATGTATAAAGTAAGTGATCCTCCCCTCCCCCATGTACAAAATCAATGCCATGCCCCCTCCCCCCAAATTCTTATAAGCATAATTTTTAAATATTTTCATGTACAAAATACAAAATTGCTGACCCCCTTTCTCCCCAGAACAAAATGGGTGACCCTTCCCTAATTAGAATCATCATCACCCCCCAAGCCATAAATTAGGAAACGGTCCCTAAGAAAGCTGTGATATTGGTAACTGCAGCCTAAAAATATTTCTGAATATTAAAACAACAAGTTGTTTAGTTACTGGCCAGATATGTGAGTCAAGATTGAATAAATTAAATTGTTTCCACAAATTATGCCCAACAGGAACCCCGAATTGCTTTTTAAAAAGTTGTTCACATTCCTGAAACATAAAAAACTACAAAACACATTGACTATTTGAGTTGTGAATTACCCCTACATCTGGCTGTCCAATAAATCATTCCTAACAATAGAATGACAACGGTAAAAATTGTGTGTTAAACCCCAATGTCTAATTTTGTCTCAGATTTCGTACTTTACTGCAGCGTAAATAAGCCCATCAAAAGCCTGTCTCGTGCAAGGCTCTAATTAAACCACGGCCACTTAAACTTGCAAACCGGGGCGGATTTGCTAAACATTTCTGACCTTGAATTAAACAATGAACATATCACCTGTAAAGACACAGCCCACAAATAACGTTACCGCCTTGATAATACTCCTCACCAAAGACTGTCAGGTATTGAAACACCTATCTTCCTGAGGTTAGTCCCAAATTCTATAACTGACTGACTGAGTTTGGTTTTACGCCGCTTTTAGCAATATTCCAGCAACATCACGGAGGGGGACACCAGAAATGGGCTTCACACATTGTACCCATGTGGGGATTCGAACCTGGGTCTTCGGGGTGATGAGCCAACGCTTTAACCACTAGGCTACCCCACCGCCCCCCAAATTCTATAACATACCTTCCACCAGGATAAACAAATAAACAGAAAATAGAAACTGAAAATTAATATTTCATTCATTTCAAAATTAACCTAAAAAAATGGATACCTCTTGTCTTTATCACAAAGGCACAATTAAACCATTTTCGGTTTAACACATTTACATCAGTGGGAAAACATATTCCAGAATTGCTGGATTGCCTTGAGAGGGTGTTAGAAAAAAGTAAACTTTGCAAGGTGATCTAGAAAATATCCTGCTCCTGGGAAAGCTAGTTCGGCCTAGGTGTGTGGAACACCAGTCAAGCATGGCCAGCTTTCAAGTGCAAGGAACCAGCTCCTCCGAGGGGGATCTGTTTGTATCACCATAGGGTGAGATACACGAGCCTATTGGGTTGCCAGCAAGGCATGTGTCAATCAAACTGCTATATACAACAGTTCTATCAATCAGAGTAAAACATTAATGCCTTTACTTGCTCGATAGGTGTTTACAAACATGCCGTTTGACATTAAGACCACTCTGGTTAAAAACTTTAAATGCCTTATTTTATACTGAGAGCTGATGATCCGACTTGGAATGATGGAAGATAGAGAGATGGATGGAGTTCATTGATGGAAGTTGGATGACAGAGAGCTTGGACAAGAGCTGAAAATTATACCTTCAGATTTCAGGAAGATAAAACCTTTATTTTTAATCTAATAATCCTACACCAAATTCAGCTCTCAGAGTTATTGAATCTGGGGTCTCGTATAAATCAACATTAAACATAATAACTTGGTCCCCTTGATTTTATTTATCTCCCACACAGGGACAACTCACACAGTAACTCACTCACTCACTCATCAGAAAGCAATGACATTCACCTTGTGCCTGCACAGTGAGATCGATGTCTTGTAATGTTGAAGAGTGCTTGCTCGTCTTGCACTGGTAACGGCCACTGTGCGATTGTTGCACATTCTTGATCAACACACTCCCTGATGGTAGCACTGTCAATGCATCTGCAACATGACAAACAAATCATCATGCAAGGGTTCTGTTAGTCTGTCATACAGACCCTGAAACAAATATATTCAAGAAAGCCATAGACTAATGCTTAGTCCCTGAACATACATGTATATCATTTTGATAGTAACAAATAAACCCATTTAAATTGAAAATGAGCCCAAGTGAGATGTGAAATTCACCAGAACCTGGGGAAATCTAGACTTGCTTCTTTAACGGCTTTAGCACTGCAGGGAGGGCTAGGCTGTAGGGAAAATAATGTGGTTTATGGACTGCGAGACAGGCTACATTGCAGGGACGGCTAGGCTGTAGGGAAAATAATGTGGTTTATGGACTGCGAGACAGGCTACATTGCAGGGACGGCTAGGCAGTAGGGAAAATAATGTGGTTTAGGGACTGTGAGACAGGCTACATTGCAGGGAGAGCGAGGCAGTAGGGAAAATAATGTGGTTCAGGGACTATCAGACAGGCTACATTGCAAGAAGGGCAAGGCAGAAGGGAAAATAATGTGGTTCTGGGACTGTGAGACAGGCTACATTGCAGGGAGGGCTAGGCAGTAGGGAAAATAATGTGGTTCAGGGACTGTGAGACAGGCTACATTGCAGGGAGGGCTAGGCAGAAGGGAAAATAATGTGGTTCAGGGACTATGAGACAGGCTACATTGCAAGAAGGGCAAGGCAGAAGGGAAAATAATGTGGTTCTGGGACTGTGAGACAGACTACATTGCAGGGAAGGCTAGGCAGAAGGGAAAATAATGTGGTTCAGGGACTGTGAGACAGACTAAGAAAGCCCATGCAAGTCTAGAATATGTGGCAAGTCTAGATTACCATGGTTGTAGGAAATGAAGAAAGTCCCTGGGCTTCTTTTCATTATATTTTATGACTATAATTCAGATTTTCTGCAATATATGTTCATCTCAGAGACTAGATGTAAGTCTAGGATGGGATGATCACAGGGCTGTACAACATCCTCAACACAGTAAGATTTGACAACAACATCAACACTGAAGCTGGAAGAAATGATAACAAACATGTGACATAGTCAGGTTTAGTTTCAGGACCAGCATCCATACACTGATGAAGACATCTGTACTGACCACAGTTTGAGCAAATAATACAGAAAAGATGAAAAAAACCCCAACTTCATCAAATTAGGAAAAAAAACTTTACACCACACATACATCACAATTATCAGGGTATTTCCAGGAACACGTTGCCATGGTTTTTGCCCACTCCCTTGGCTGAAAATGTGCCATTTGCTTAGAATTTATGGTGTTCTTACCGATCCCTGACGATTTGTCCGCGATTGTACAAATTCCTCCTTCTCTATGATTTATAGAGGCATCGTGCCTGGGATCGGATCTATTAGTTATAACATACACAGACCCATCTGTTTCTGTCACTCAGGTGCCAGCATCCGCTTGTAAGGGGAGGTAACTCTCCACACTCAGTTGACATCAGCTGGCGAGAGCACTCTCCAACTTAAGGAGGCAGAAACTTTTGGCCAAGGTATACTGGGAGCATGCAGACAGACTTTGTCTGAGGAAATGGGAGTAAGGTTGTCAGAACAAATGGGCTTGATTATGAAACATTGCCCATAGACGTGAACCAAAGATGGAGGATGGCACGCAGTCCCCCGGTAATTAAGGTTCGTAAATCATTACGATGATGCAAGCCGTTCTAATTAGCACTCGCACTGGAAATGCCTGTCACATAAGTAATGACCGACGTCTGATGAGATACATATTTGTAAACCAAACCAACCCCACCCAAAAGAGTTCCAAATATTTCCAATCTTTTGTCTTACTTGCAACAAATTACTGGGAAAAAAAAGTTCCAGTTTCACTTTGACTTCAGCAGGGATGGGATTAGTCTGTCATACAGACCCTGAAACAAATATATCCCAGAAAGACCATGCAAGTCTAGAATATGTGGCAAGACTAGATAACCATAGTTACTGGAAATGAAGAAAGTCTCTGGGTTCCTTTCCATCGTATCTTATTATCATAATTTAGGAACTGTTAATTTTTCTGTAAAAATGTTCATTTCAGACGCTAGATGTTAGTGTAGGATGGGATTACCACAAGGCTGTACCATCCTCAACAGTAGAGCTGTTCCGATGATCGATAATAATGTAAAATCGATCGAAAGGAGGATAAAAAATAATTATCGACGGTAAAAAAACATTTTTGTCAATTCTTCGGAATTTTGTTTTTTTAGTATAACACACTTGAATGAAGTAAACTAACCATTAAATTGGATGAATATTCACGAACACACATGCGCTCAACAGTTGAAACATTAGTTAACTATCCACACAAACAACAGACACCAGAAAAGGGTGAAAACTGTTTATCACCGTCAGACCGACAACAGACAAGAGACACCAAGACAAGGAAAAACATCCACCATTTACTCCTCTCGTTTCCAAGCCTGAAGCCCAGTCAGCCCAGTCAGCCCACACCAACCCACCATTCCACAATTAAACTGACTTCTTTTCAAAAAGAGTTTTTCACAACATCAAGAATCCATTTGAGAACCTAAGCCTGACACCGAGACTTACACGCCATTCAAGCATGACCAACACTGTATTAAAGACCCTGATAAGCTCACCGATATCTACCTCCATTATAACCCTTCCAAGAATTTTTCAAGATAGGGGCCTATGTATTAAGGGAGATAAATGGATTGTCTCCCATTAAAGAACTCTCCTGCCAGGAGACAAAGACGCAGTATGTTTCGGCATCTGTTGAGAAGCACTCACTGATGAAAGACGCGGGCATCCACCATGATGAATGATGCTCTCGCCACCAACTAGAAACGCGGTACGTTTCCCCACTCCTGGCAATGGGCTCCACTTGATAAAAGCTCCATTTATCAATTGTCAACTTCTCCCCATGGCTCCGAGTCGAACTCCAAAGGTAGTCTGGCAAGGGTTGGAATTTAGATGAGATATTTTGGCTGATTCTGACAAACCCGCCTCCAAGAGAGATGAGAAAAATTACAAGCTGACAAAAAACAGGAGCCTGAGTAACATATTCAATTTTTCAAAAATGAAAATTTCGGATCTCCCAGTGTTTTCAATAAAGCAGTTTCTCTGCTGCCAAAAGTTGTCCGGGGCTTGTGTGTGAAAGATCTCTTTCATGAGTGGAAAAACACTTCCCATGATGCAGCACTACTTCTAAATGATGTCGTGCTTGTTCATGGTACTCAGATTATCCGATATTACAGTTCCAAGATTCCAAAGCAATCTGCCATCAATCAGCACTTCACATGGGTTATTTCACTGAAACTCAGTGCACTTCGATAAAAAAGGATTCCCAAGTACCGCTTATATATATAATATTCATATGTAAATATTAGGTTATGAAATCTATCGTCATACTTATTTTCCTCCTTTCGCACGCTACGGACAATGTTTAGATTTCTATTAAATTCACCCACCTGCTAGTTTTCTAAGTGTGTGAGAGATGTTAACCATTTTGAAAAAAAACAAAACAAGCATGGGTAGAGGGTGCTGACAAAACATGGAATAGTTGTGGAAATGGAATGAGATTCAATATTTGACTCAGATGGTACATTCTACGAATGAAAAGGCACAAACTAGCCATTAATGTCATTCACAAAGAAAAAAGAAATTGTTATTGACAAAAAATATAGTGTATTCATGAACGGTACATGAACTGTAAAGGACTAAACGTTTTCATGAATCTGAGGCCACATATATAAATAACAAAGAAAAACTTTATATATTTGAATGAACCATAACATAACATAGTAATAACATATATTGGTGTAATATCAGGATACTCAATATCTAATTACTTCAAAGTGTTTTATGCCCTACCATTCCAAAGTATTAGTTTACAGATGGTTGACTGCATAGGGGTTTTGTATTGAAAGATCAAACTGGTCTTTGGAGACTATCTGACAGTTATGAGATCTTTCTAAGAGGCTAAATAAACAGAAGAGATCGGCTCCCCATCAAACAACATAAAATTCTTATCCACATATTTAAACTCCTACTACAAATTACTGACAAGCTTAAGGGGCTGTTTACACTTGCAGAACCACAGGAAGTTGTCTCTGACCAATCAGAAGGCTCCTCTCTTCAGAAGCTGATCAAAAAGTCAGATGGGACTTGCAACAAAACCTGAATAGGTTGATTAAAAAGTGGGAATGGAAACTCCATCCTTTACGACTGTCATCAACAATCTGAGTGGCCATTCATTCTGCTGGAGATTCCACAGGAATTCGCTGCTGGTTTCCATGGCAACTGACATGACATAATTTGTTTTGATTTGTGATACTGGTGTTTGTCTCTGGTATGTCTGACTTGTCAGTTTGTCTGGGCGATTGTCCGACCAACCCTACGTACCTAGCCAACGTTTCTCTCCATCCTCAGTATCAGTCTCTCCAGTCTGTGGAGATTTTCTTCTTATTCCGCCATGGTTACGCTGCATGGTTTCCAACTGAGCAAAGCAAAATTTCCTGTCCACCCTCTACAGATTCATACAGTAAATTTTACAGATCTACAAAATCCCTTCATCTGATTTTCAGGACAGTAATTTCACACTCTCATTATCTTATTCCAAGGAGAGTTCTTTCGCACTTGTTTTATCGTGTTCTAAGGACAGTTATTTTATACTCTCCTTGTCATGTTCTTTGGACAGTTTTTCATCTCATTCCAAGGACATTTTCTTCACCTCATTCCAAAGACAATTTTTTCATCTCATTCTAAGGGCATTTCTCCACACTCTCTATATCTAGGGGCAGCTATGATTTTATATTCTCCTCATCTTGTTCTAAGGGCAGTTCTTTATCACATTCTATAGACAGTAGTGGTGGTCCTATTAATTGAAATCATCGAAGATTGGTCGCAGTGACTAAACGACCAAGCAATCGAACATGTTTTCTCATAATCGAACACCACCAATCTTGGAACACTTGTTTGCATGAAAAATATTTTTCACAAGGCTGGTTTTGTCTGTGTCATTAAATTTACATTTCATAAGCACTACATGTACAAGCTCGTGCCAAGACTACATGTACAAGCTCGTGCCAAGTCATGATTGAATTTATCTTAAAGAATCCAGAAAATATGTGTTCCTAACATACTAATCATCATTTAAATATGCAAACTTTGCAAATGGACTTTATGCAATTTGCCAAAAAAAACCCAAATTACTACATGTTTTTTCATTATTTTTGTGTGCATTAACAAAAATAACAGGAACGACAAAATGACGCTAACCAATTATTTTCGATGATTGATCAGTTGTAATGGACCAATCATCAATTATTAGAATTTAACCAATTCCCAACACTAATAGATAGTTCTTTCATACTCACTTAATCATCTTGTTTTACATGCATCAACCAAACCACAGGGCCTAACTATCTGATTCCACCAGTTGCAACTTTCGACATGCATGGTTTGCTGGAGATCAATGGAGTTTTCACAGTCACAATATAATTAATGCTAACATGATGTGATCATCAGGAGGAAATGCACTGTAGTCGTTTTATGTCCTAATCTGAGAGAGGTCTGAGCAACCTATTTACGTGCACTGATATACAGTTTGACATTATAATCATGAAATATTACTGATTGTTTTTATAGATGTATCAATATCAGCATGATCAGGAGGTGACATCAATCCTTCCTCCCATCCACCCACCCCTCCATCCATCCATCAATCCTTCCTCCCATCCACCCACCCCTCCATCCATCCAGCAGCCAGCCATCCATCAATCCTTCCTCCCATCCATCCACCCCTCAATCCATCCAGCAGCCAGCCATCCATCCATCAATCCTTCCTCCCATCCACCCACCCCTCCATCCATCCAGCAGCCAGCCATCCATCCATCAATCCTTCCTCCCATCCACCCACCCCTCCATCCATCCAGCAGCCATCCACCCATCCATCAATCCTTCCTCCCATCCACCCACCCCTCCATCCATCCCAGCAGCCAGCCATCCATCCATCAATCCTTCCTCCCATCCACCCACCCCTCCATCCATCCAGCAGCCATCCATCCATCAATCCTTCCTCCCATCCACCCACCCTCCATCCATCCAGCAGCCATCCATCCATCAATCCTTCCTCCCATCCATCCCTCAATTCTTCTTTCCATCCAGCCATCCATCCTTCCATCATCCACCCATCCAGCATTCCTTTCCACTCTCATCGATCCATCCATTCTTCCCGTCCATCCATCCATCCTTCCAGCTAGCCATCCTTCCATCCACCCATCCAGCCTTTCTTCCACCCACCCACCCACCCCAGCCAGCCAGCCAGCCAGCCAGCCTTCCATCCACCCACCCATCCAGCCATCAACCCACCCATCCAGCCATCCATTCCATCCACCCACCCATCCAGCCAGCCTTCCATCCACCCACCCATCCAGCCATCAAGCCACCCATCCAGCCAGCCAGCATTCCATCCACTCCACCCATCCAGCCATCCAGCCACTCCCATCCAGCCAGCATTCATTCCATCCATCCATCCTTCCAGCTAGCCATCCTTCCATCCACCCTTTCTTCCACCCATCCCACCCACCCATCCAGCCAGCCAGCCTTCCACCCACCCACCCATCCTGCCATCAATCAGCCACCCAGCCAGCCAGCCAGCCAGCCATCCACCCACCCATCCAGCCACCCATCCAGCCAGCCACCCATCCAGCCAGCCAGCCTTCCATCCACCCATCCAGCCTTTCTTCCACCCACCAATCCATCCAGCCAACCAGCCTTCCATCCAGCCAGCCAGCATTCCATCCACCCACCCATCCAGCCATCCAGCCACCCATCCAGCCAGCCAGCATTCCATCCATCCATCCTTCCAGCTAGCCATCCTTCCATCCACCCATCCAGCCTTTCTTCCACCCACCCACCCACCCATCCAGCCAGCCAGCCAGCCAGCCTTCCACCCACCCACCCATCCAGCCATCAAGCCACCCATCCAGCCAGCCAGCCTTCCATCCACCCACCCATCCAGCCATCAAGCCACCCATCCAGCCATCCAGCCACCCATCCAGCCAGCCAGCATTCCATCCATGTATCTATCTTTCTTTCCATCAATCAATCAATCATCCATCCATCCAAATGTAACAACTATAAGCTGGACAGACACCTCCAAAGTTGCTGAACAAAGTCCTGACAATCACAACAAGTTGATGCACACTAACCATTGAGAGCTATGATTTCCAAGAAACTGACAGGGAGACAGAGTTACCTCCCTTCAACTGGGTAAGAAAGCCCAGAGATTCTGCACACATTTTTTTCTCCATGCTGTCAACTGCCATCAGCTGTTTTGGCTGAGTGAAACAGATAGGGAAAGATAAGCCACAATCAATTACCCACCCTTAAAAAACAAACTCCTTCTAAAGTAACAGATATTTCACTAAAACAGTTGTGTTTGGCTCATGTTTTGAATAGTTTTTCAATCAGTATTTGTTTTCTTAAAAAATGTCAAGAAAACCACCACTTACTGCTATTATTCTAGAAGAGTTTCAACAGATAAGTGATAAACAAAAAAGTCACAGAGGAATCTGTTACTAGTAAATCTCAGAACAAATATACTATTTACCTGTCAACCAACTTAATAAAATCATCCCAAATATCTCCTATATTATTTTAAAAAATATCAATATATTTTTATTGAATTTAACCAAATATTAACCAAACCCATTCCTCAGAATTGCCAGCAAGGAATATGTCAAAGAGAAAAAAATTTAAAAATGAAACATTGATATTTCTCACTAAAAACAAACAATGACAACAATTTGGAAAATGTTCTCTCAAAGACTGTAGATACATATCCCTGAATGACCTCTGCCCTTAAACACAGTTCTGTTGAAGCCAGTTGGGATAGATAGGATTTCTCACTCAGGTGTAGAAAAGCCCAGTTTTTTGACAGAGAGGGACTTCGAGCGATTAAGCCAGTGAGGTAGTTGTGTACTAGTGTGTTGTAAATGCTGCAAGCAGGATCTATGCAAGTATAGGGGATCCAGTTTCATCATCTTTCAACTTCTAACCCTCCCACCGACTCATGCATGACTCTCAGATCAGGTTTCTTGGCAAAATTGGTGATAGCTAGTTGATAGGGAAATACCTTCACAAGCAAACCCCTGCCTGTCAATCAGCTGCCGGATAACCAATCAGAAAGCAGGAAGAGCTGGAGTTGGGGAGTCTGGGTTATGTTGTATTTTAATGTGTTTGAGGGAAAACAGAAATAAGAAGAAATTGATTTAGCTTTAGACCTTGGTAAATGTCCAACATGATGTTTCAACTAAAGTCAAGTCAAGTGCTCAGTGAACACTTTGTAAAAATATCACAAAATTTGTATTTAAAGAAATTTTAGGGTTTAGTATGTGTTTCTGTGAAAAGCGTTTCACTGAGGAATAAGCTAGGTGACTAGGAGCAAGGTGTCTTCAAGTCTTATGTACAGGGTGGCTCTTGTTGGTGTAATATATACTGGATAAAAATAGTTAGGGATATATGTAAATTTTGAAATTATAACTAATGATCTATTTATTCATTGACACACTGATAAAATATCAATCATTAAAATACCAATATCCCTAACTTGTTTTGTCGAGTATATATTCCTTGTTTGTCAGGAGCATTTACTCCCACCACCACCCCCAAATACCCAACATAATAACCACAAAAAAACAAACAAATAAACAAAATTTGTAGATATAAGCATATATCATATATATCCTACACCTTTGGAGGACTGTCTCTGTGATCAATGCTCACTACTTGAGGATGAAGGACACTACTTTATCTCCTAGTAAACATTCAGATGTAAGACACTCCTTATTCAATTCCCTTTCCTCTCAAATTAGATATTTTCAAAGTCTTACCACCTCAAATTTTTTTTACAAATAATTAACCAGGTAGAATTGAGTGAGTGAGTGAGTGAGTGAGTGAGTGAGTTTAGTTTTCGCCACACTCAGCAATATTACAGTGGTGGCGGTCTGTAAATAAGTGAGTCTAGATAATTTATGCGATGCATCTCAAGCAAGTCAGCAATTGACCACCCGATCCAGTTAGTATGGCAGCATGGGTACTGTCAATATTCTAAGTCTGGGTGTTACAGATAATCCAGTGAGTCAGTTTATTGCTCTCAGCATTACAGTTATATGGCGGTCTGCTTGAGTCTGGACCAGAACTGCATGCATCGATCTGCGCCAATTGGGAACATGTCAACCCAGTCAGCGAGCCTGACCACTCGATCCCGTTAGTCGCCTCTTACGACAAACATGGGTTACTGAAGATCTATATTCTAACCCGGACCTTCATGGGCGTTACAGAACTAAATCATGGAGTGAGTGAGTGAGTTTAGTTTTACGCCGCTCTCAGCAATATTCCAGCTATATGGCGGCGGTCTGTAAATAATGGAGTCTGGACAGGACAATCCAGTGATCAACAGCATGAGCATCGCTCTGCGCAATTGGGATCCGATGACATGTGTCAACCCAGTCAGCGAGCCTGACCACCCAATCCCGTTATGTCACCTCTTACGACAAGCATGGGTTGCTGAAGATCAATATTCTAACCCGGACCTTCATGGGCGTTAGAGAACTAAATCATGGAGGCTTCATCCATGACTCTAGAGACAATACCCAGAAAACACATCAACCAGAAACACAGACCCCAGGGGCCAGGCAGACTTAAATTTACTTCCAGGAATAAAATAATCATATCTAAAAATAAATAAAAAGCGAAACAAAAACTTAGAAAACGGAGCCAAGAGCAAAGCTTAATTAGAACTGAGGCAGCCTAGAAGTGCCAAATTTGTACACATGAACTGGATTCAATTTCAACTGATTCTCCCGAGTGTTGGAGACAGAGAGGGGCCATAAGCTAGAATGGGAGACTCATTTGGCTTGTTTGTGGGTCATCATATACAGAGAGGGGCGGTGGGGTAGCCTAGTGGTTAAAGTGTTCGCTTGTCACTCCGAAGCCCCGGGTTCGATTCCCCACATGGGTATATGTGCGAAGCCCATATCTGGTGTCCCCCGCCGTGATATTGCTGAAATATTGCTAAAAGCGGTGTAAAACCATACTCACTCACTCATATACAGAGAAGGGCACAGCTGTAGCTACATCATCGCAGTACATATCTAAACAGTCACGAACTAGACAAGAAGACTTAAACCTAACCAGAGTATTTTCATTATGAAACAAAATACACCCAAACTAATTTTGTGCTCATAATGAACTTACGAAAATTCTCATCAAGAAATTAATCTTTAAAAAATAACTAGCACCGAACCATCTGTAGGTTGTTTTTCCCTGCCCCCTCTCCATGATAGATGCACACATCAAGGCCCGCAAACAGATGGCAACACAGAGAAGTAGGCAGATTTGTCATCCATCACCAAACACTATGAAGTTGGAGACTATGTAATCCCAAAGCACTAAATATGAAAATCATATTTCTGGGTCATAGGTTTTAACTTGAGTTTCCCCATCAGCCAAACATGATGGCTCTGGATGTGAAGAGCGTGGGGATTTTCAGCTCGCTGATACTAGCTTCCATGTTTTAAGTGTTGGGCGAGGTTTTGGCTCATTACCCATGTACAAGCCCACATGTTTCCATCAGGAACGGGAGGGATTCGGTTTCCTATCCTCTTTCTTGCTCCGTTCGGTACATAATTAAAAGAATATCATAAGGTTCTTCTAGTGCTACTTCTCTGTTAAAGCCACATCGCCATACTGGAAACATTGGCATATTTGAAAACAGAAATGTTTCTTGTTTGTGGATGAGATCAGATCATCACCTCAGATCGGAGGGATTAACAGTTGTCGTAAATGGGACGGAATATTTGAAAACAACAAAGTTTCTTGTCTGGGGATGAGATCAGATGTTCACCTCAGATCGGAGGTATTAACAGTTGTTGTCAATGTGATGGAACATTTGAAAAGAACAATGTATTCGTTTGTGGATGTAAAGTCAGATCATCACCTCGGATCGGAGGTATTAACAGTTCTTATCAATGAGATTGAATAGTTAAAATCGTAACAGATTTTTGTTTGAGGATCAAACCCACAGTCAGTTTCTGGAGTGCCTGATCCATCTTACACCACCGGGCCACTTGTAACTTCCACACACTTAACCAGGTCTTGTGGTTGAGTCCCACTCTAGTTTGACCAGTGGCCTGTCAGCAACATTCAAATGTTCATCGGTTTCAAAGAGGGAAATATGAAACAGAATTTAAGATTTTCAAAAAAGGAACAACTAATTTTACAAGATATTTAAACTGAGAAAGTAAAAATCCCATCACATACATTGATATTTTTTCGATACCAATTCCCTTATTCGAGGCATTAGTACATAGCGATTTTCATGAGAGAAATCAGGTAACACAATCAGATGACACAAACAGGTAACAGAATCACGGAACACTATCAGATGACACAATCAGGCAACTTTTTCTAACCATAATGTTTCTAAGTACTATTCAGTGTTGTCATGGAGACTCAAAATAATTACTAAAATATTATGAATACAGGTGTGCCACAGACCCAACTGAAACTGCCCTGAGAACAGACATGACAACCAACTTTTATCACAAATTATAGGTTCCAGTTTTGTGTCTTAATCACTTGTGTTCATTACAAAGTAAGCAATGAAAGGGAGATAACTCGTCAGTCTGGGCTTGGGAAACCCTGTGTTTGCATGTCCACGGTTCATAATGCATGTCTACTTTCAAATCTATCAGTTACACATCACTTTGCTTGGATAGATGTAATTATATTATCATCAACATTGTCCGGCCATTATTTTCACATTGAACTAACACTGTTAAAATGGTGATAGTTTCTCCAGAATGCATCAAGCATGGGTTCACGGAGAGAGTATACTGTCAATATGTACACAATATGTACTGGCACATGGTAAAACAAGTCGCTTGTTTCCTCTCCAAGACACAAGCACCAAGAGAACTTCTATAACAGTGTGATATCATTATTTATACAACATGACATGCTTCAAGGACTATTTACATTGAATAGTGATGGTGTAAATAAAAACACATGTTAGGGGCTTATAGTTTGTAAAGAGCAGCCCATAAATCAGTGTTATCTGTGTAGGAACCACTTCAAAACCTCAAGGAGGATGGGTGACTTTCAGTGAATACATACATGCAGGAGAGGGATGCATGATGGGTTGGGGAAGGCAGGTACGAGAGTGAGGGAAATCCAAAGGAGGTGGACAAAAGGGTGGAACAGAATGGTTTGGTGATCGAGATGTGGGAAATCTGTTTCAAGGGGGGTTGAAGGAGGTGAATTGGGGAGAACACGAGTGGGATGGGGAGAGAAGCATAAAGGGGGAGAATATTTTAGAAGATGGTTGGAGATTGGGTGGGATCAGGGAACGGTTTGGTGGATGGATCTGTATCATGGGGAGAGATGGGTAAAGCAAGCATAAAGGTGGAGAAAATCCTGGGAGGATTTAGGAGGAAATGGATGGGATCAGTACAGT